GGGTTTAAGGCTCAGGGTTTAGGAAACTCGAAACGCTAAACCCGAGTTGAGCTTAGGGTTTGGATTTGTTTCTTTCGGGAGATATTTTGCTTGAGTTGGACATTCCGAAATGATTCCGCATGAATGGAAGGCTTCATGTCGGCTCTGAACAGCTCGTCGGGAACGGTCGCCCGCTCCACACATAAAGGGCCTAGCCCCAGCTCACTCGAAGTGCAATCCACATAAACGTCTTATCAATCGTATCCCAAAACCCTTTCCATGTCTTTTTGCTTCTACAGTCTACAGCAATACATCGTTAGTCCGGGGCTCTCGTAACCATAGTGTTCGATAAAGGGTTTACAGATGAACTCGAAGGGATACTGGTACAGGATATGGGAATGAAGCAATGTGGCAGAACGTGAAAATCACAACTCGTGTTTCATTGCGGGCCAAAGCCCTGTGCATACTGCTAGCTGCTAGCGGTGATGCGAAGAATGATCAACACGAGGATACTACTGCTAACACTGGTTCTGGCATCACTGTGAGCACGTATGCTGTCAACGACTTGCAGTGATCTGCTGCCTTGCTTCAAAAGCTGAAAGAAACCCTAGACCCTACCTAAATCAAGAATCTTACCACCCGATTAGGAGGCTGAGGACAGCTCGATGTCGGTGTACTTTCTGTGTCAAGCTTGACATCGCAACTGAGAAGTACACAGCAAAGCCTCAGATACCCTAAGCCCTTAACACCAAACCCGAATGCCAAACTGTAAACCCGATTACTGAGCCCTGGCACCTGCGCAATTCGTCGGAGCTGGGCATTGTCGCTCTGCTTCTCCGGCTCCAAAGATCTGCCAAGTTTAAGGCTCACAGCCGGGTTTGGTTTAGGGTTTAGGGTTTAAGGTTTAGGGTTTGGGGTTTAGGGTTTAGGGTTTAAGGTTTAGGGTTTGGGGTTTAGGGTTAGGGTTTAGGGAACCCGGGTTTAGGGTAGAGGGTTTTCCATACCCGGCTTGGGATACATGTCGTAAGCTTCCGGAGATTTAGAGATCCCTAGCACAGGCCGTGGGAAAGAGGCTTATCTAGGACATTTTCAGGTGGGTAGTTACCGCTACAGGAGCCTTATAGAAGGTCTATATACCTTATGGAAGCCTTATGGAAGCCCTACATACCCTAAACTCCCCACCTGTAGTTTCCTAAACCCTAAACCCTAAACCCTATACCCTAAACCCTAAATAGTGACCTTTAACTTTTTGTTGTAAGGGCTTCCAAGTCACAAGGAACCCGGGCCCTTCCGAGCTCCACTTGTGCAGTTCTCTACATTGGGGCCCCTCTGGATCCCCAAAATAGTACGACACCCTTCTGAAAAAAGGACCCTAAAAGGGACCCTAGGTCTGTCCGAGATGAGATAGCCCCAGAAGGCTAAAGGGACCCTAATTTCGAGAACCACCACCGGGTTTTAGGGTTTAGGGTTTAGGGCTTTGTAGACAACGTTCGCGCGCGGGCGTTCGGACCTTGGTTATAAGACATCCGCATGCCTGCCTGATGACATCCCCGCTGCCTGCCAACCCACCAGACGAGGTGTTTCCCTAAACCCTAAACCCTAAACCCTACAGTCCTTGTCCTCAGAAACAGACGAGAAAGGTGTTCGGCGTCCGAAATCTGCAGGTAAGTGTGTTTCTGGGCGGGGGGCACCCCAAAACGAATCCAGAGAATCTCGAATTCGATCACAAGCCATGTCAGCCTAAACGCTAAACCCGGTCCTGACAAGCCGAAGTTTGAGAACAGTGCAGATCGATAGACTGAGATCCTCAAGCGCCCACTAATCCCACCAAACAGACCTCAGAATTGCCAGAAGAATGTCGGCGAACTCGCGCTCATCTTTGCCGACCGACACCACGAAATCCTACACGAGGGTCGAGCGAAGCAGGCACAATTGAGGTGTGAGTGTCTTTGGCGACGTGCAACTGAAAACATTAACGAAAGTGATCGTTCTCATACAAGATTCAGAAATTCGAAGATGATGATGACGATCACAGAGCGGAGGAAAGTAGAGATCATGGCTACCATGTCAGCTCCTATCAGAGCCATGGGCCTCGTTACTGGCTTAGGCAATGCCGCGCAAAAACTAAAACTCCAGAACATCTGATGAACCAAGCCCACATCTCCTGGGAACTCTTCTAACAGAACCGCATGTGCTCCGCACAGCAGACGGTACAAGGCAGAACAACCCTAAACCCAAACTCCAGGAGACTTCACCGCAACACAAGGGTTTAGCTGCGAGAAAGTCTGCGTGAGACAGTTTAGGGGTTTAGGGTTGTTTGAGGGTGGTTTAGGGTTTAGGATTTGGGGGTTTCGGTTTTTGTTTGGGGCGGTTTAGGGTTTAGGGTTCAGGGGTCTAGGGTTAAGGGTTTGCAGAACACATAGAGCGTGAGGTTGCTTAGCCGCACTGCAGCTTGGCTTGGGAGCTTTTGCTTCGACACTTCGGTGCTGAGGGTTCTTCACGTATGGATTAAGGCAACCTTCACAGAAGTCTTGACAGCAGGTTTGCTGGAAAGACCATCCCAAAGCCTTGTAGTTAGCCCACACTGAACCCTAAACCCCAACCCCCTAAACCCCAACCCCCTAAACCCTAAACCCTAAACCCTAAACCCTAAACCCTAACCCCTAAACCCCAACCCCTAAGCCCCAAAACCCTCAAACCCTCAACCCATTCCCCCACCTGGAGCGAGGCGCCAGGGAACCGCACGTGCCAGTGCGACACCTCCCCGTTCTGCTTACGGGGAAACCTTGGATCAAGAGCTTAAGGACTTTGGGGTTTGGGGCTTTTAGGGAGATCTTGGGATTGTATTTTTGTAGCCTTTTGGGGTTTTGGGAGTTGGGCTGGGGAGCTAAAAGGGATATTCGGGCTCGAAGATAAGAAACAAAAGCCAGGAGTGACCCCGCTTGATTGAAGCTGTCTGGAATGTAGGTACGGTGTAATCGGCTTTAAATGGTACGCCCGGTTACACTCATGGTGCACGTCGCAGTTATGTTGACAAGCAGTGGGCCTTACATCGGAAATACACAACCGCAACTGCGAATTCCTGAAACCCCGAATCCCACACCCCAGACTTTAGTCAGAAGCACCGGCCTGCGACACCGAGCCCCAAAAACCCTGAACACAACTTTCCAAGATCCTGCTGGCAGAAGCCCAGAGACCTGAAATCCCAACACTTGAACATAAAAGCCCTATCCATTTGCTGCCTGAAAACCCAAGTGCCCTGAAGCCTCAACCCCAAAAACCTCTGAAGCCCCCTCTCTAAACCCGAAACCCTAAACTCTAAACCCTAAACCCTGAACCCTAAAACCCTTAACCTTTAACCCTAAGCCCTTACGTAAACCGAAAACCCAAAGAAATGGCTATGAATACCTGGCTCCACTTCCTGGCGAGGATCACACCGCCACTTTCCCAGGCTTCCATGGACAGAGGAGGAAGGCTCCGGGTGTCGTAGTGGTTTTTGGGCTTGGGGTTTAGGGTTTAGAGTTTGGGGCTGAGGGGTTTGGGTTTGGGGTTTAGGGCTGAGGGGTTAGGGTTTAGAGTTTAGGGCTGAGGGGTTTGGGTTTAGAGTTTAGGGCTGAGGGGTTAGGGCTTAGGGTTTAGAGTTTGGGGCTGAGGGGCTAAGGTTCAGGGTCTAGGGGGGCTTATCCAAGGGGTACAAACTTTTCAGAAGAGATGTGCATGAGAATCACGGGCGGTAGGGTGTTGTCATTTCGCTACGGTGGTGTTGCAGCGAATTCGAGCTTGGGGCTCAAGACTTATGGGTAGTTCTCTAAAGTAGGGTCCCTTTTGAAGTCCCCAAAATAGTACGGCGCCCGTTTAGAAAAGGACCCCAAAAGGGACCCTAATTTAGAGAACTACCCTTGTGGTTGAGCTGAGGGTTTAGACTCAGACTTGGGGGTCAGGGTGACGTGCTTCGGCTTGCGGTAGGGGTCGGGTTAGGGGTTTAGGGTTTAGGGTTTCTTGACTATTCTTGGCTCATGCAGTGAAGCTGGAAAGCTGAGCCATGAAATCAGTTGCGGCTCATCGGAGATGGTCGATCCGTACCCCAACATGTGGTGCTGCAGGTGTTGTCGCGTAAACTCAACCTTGTCTGACCAAATTTCTGGCAGAACTCTCAACCCCCCGAAGCCAACCCTAAACTCCATTCCCGAAGCCCTCTAAACCCTTTAAACCCTAAGCCCTAAAGGGTCTAAACCCTAAACCCTAAACCCTATACCGTATACCCAAAACCCTAAACCCTGAAACCACAAAACAGGGTTGGAGAAATCCAAACCGGATTCTCCATGCACTTACGGCTTTTCTGTTGCTCTGACAGGGTTGAGGGTTTGCGGCATTTGTTTCCGGATCGCACGCCTAGTTGGCCTAGTATTTTTATGGTGGGTTGAAGGCTTCATTGTTTTGGTTTTCAGGTTTGGGGTGATAAACCCTAAACCCTGAAAGTTTGAGCCCTGAAGCTTTCGAGCCCGACATGCCTCAGACCTCACAGATCTTTCGGCCACTGCCACCTCTACTCACGCGAGTGCCGCATGCTTTCCTCAGCCGTCCGGCTTACAGAGTGTAGGCCCTAAGCCTTGTCATTGTCAGTATTACAAGTATCATTATTGCTCTTATAATTATTATTACTACTGTTGTTGTTGATATTTTGTTACTGTTATCACTAACCCTAAACCCTGAAACCCCAAACCCTAAACCCTAAACCCTAAACCCTGAACCCTTAACCCTAAACCCTCTCACCAAGCTGTCACCTTGATTTTGCGGATTACGGGTTCTTCACTTCAGCTAGGCTTAAGTACATGAGCTCCAAGTCGAGATATGGGGCTTACACCGCTATTAACCCTTATGGTAACCCAAGTACTGCCCTACGGTTTAGGGTTAGGGGCTTACGGGCTTAAGGGTTCTAGGGTTTAGGTTTAAGGGTTTAAGGGTTCTAGGGTTTAGGGTTGAAGGTTTAGGATTTAGGGTTTATCCGGCATGTTTTTTCATCAGCGTCTCTCAGAATCCTCCTCCAGCGCGACAGCTGCGAGCTGCTGCACAATGGCAGCCCCACTCAGTGTGCTCAGAATGCCCAGGGACACCCCGATCCAGTCAAACTCCACGCCGCTTCCGCGGCTGAGAGCTGCAGCAACGGAAGCGGCTGCAGAGCCCGAATAGACGTTCGAGGCAAGTGGCGGCAGCATGCCGAGGAGGGTCGCTGGCAGGAAAGAGCTCAGAGACACGCCTGCCAAAGGCAGAGCATAGTTGTTGATCCAAGAAGGCACCGGGGAGAGCCGGGCCAAGAGGCAGAAGCGAAACGCATCCCGCCTCACTCCCCTCTTCAGCTTCTCCGTCCAACTTTGGCCCCCATTTTCCTGGCCCTCCTGGTCCAAGCGCTCTTGGATCCAACGACCCGGTGGGCCGTCACGAATGGCTGTTGCAATGAAGAAAGTGAGAGCCGCGGCCAGTCCTTTAGCAGATGCCACCACGATGGCGCCGGGCAAGAATCCGAAGACAGCACCCGCAGTGAGCTCGAAGATAGCAGTGCCAGGGAAGCAGAGGATGATGGCAACGATGTGAACGGCGATGAAGGGCACGGCGCCAAGCCCTGAGGTATCGCCACGGATCCATTCCCCAAGACCTGCCGCCAGGGAGGCGCTATCCAGTGCAAACCCTGGAGACGTCCCGTCGGCCGCCATCGCACACTCTCCGCATGAAAAGCTGAAGATCGCAAAGAAGCCGACTGCGAGGCCAACCAGGCCCTGTCTCGATGAGATGGAGGAGCTTACAACCAGGCGCCTGCCGCGACCGCTGCATGCCCGCACCACTTCCTGGGTTGCTGTTAAGAAACTACTCAGTTACCATAATGGGTTTGTAGATATAACTATACTAACTATCCTAATAATAATCATAATAGTGATAATACTAATTATTACGATTATTGTTATAATAAATTATATTATGATATATATATATATATATATATATATATTGTGTAAAAAATATAGTATAAATATAGTAAAAAGTATGGTTTCCTTACTACAGTCACTTAATTTAAATTCCTCAACAGCAGCCCAGCTTCTCTGCTTCGGAGGCCCTGGACCAGACGAACTCCCATCATTCCGAAAGCTCCGGCCAAAGCACTCGTGAGCCCGCGAGAGTGCAACTTCGGCACAGTTGGAACACATGAAGAGGCTGCTGCGCGGAACGACTGAGGCATAGCAACGCTCTGCCGATGACGCAAAAATACTCCAGCACCGTCCATCGCCATATCGATCGCAATGATCGATCAACACAGCGAGCACCTAACGAAATCAAAGAACTGGGATGCGACGCCTGTGCCACAGATGGCTTGAAAGATGCCAACCGCACTCTATGACCTCCAGTAAACAACATCGCTGCATATCAATACTACAAACTCTTTTCGCTTTACCGTTTCCGAAATGCAATTTGGCACTGTAGTCTTCAGTAGTTTTCGGTAGTTTTCTATCGGAACCTCAACCGTTCGGAAGAAACGCCGGTGGATTCTTTCGCTCGGTTTTTGAGGACCCTCAGGTAAGCTTCCAAATACCGACCGTTCACATTTCTTACGGAGCGAAAGATAGCATGAACTGCCACCTAGGACAAGAACCTTGGAAGAACTTACCTACACACATGTTGTTTATGCAGCACGACTCATGGATCGGCTGCCTCGGGTATCTAATACAGGTACAACCCCTTGTCACTGATCTTTACGCTCGAAAAATCCAAACAGCAACCCAGTGTACCAAGAAGCCAGTGGTGAGCCACCTTACCCTAAACCCTAAACCCCTCAGCAGCCACAAACCCCTCAACGAACTGGAGGAAGCGACGAACCAGCTTCAGGCGCTGTTTCTTCCGAGCCTTCTTTTCAAAGGCTGCTCGAAGGGATGCAAAGGATAGCCGGTTTCAACTTCTGCATCTCTCTGTGAGACAGATGCTCCCATGGCTTGAGCAACTTGGAAAGCAAGCCTTTGTGACGTGACCTGCCTCTGATGCAGCGTGGTTGCCCAACATGACGAAAATCCTGAACCCTAAACCCTTCAGTCTTTGTCACGAAAGCGACAAAGCTAGCCCAAGCCCGTGGTTGAAACGAGCCTGGTCGCCCAACGAACGTTCAACGAACACCCCGGAAGCCGCAGGCAGGCAAGGACTTCGTGGCAGCTTGGTCTTGTCATAACTTAGGTTTTAGGATTTAGGGTCTAGGACTTGGAGTTATAGTGAGACGGGTGAGTTTTAGGGGTAGCAGAAGGTGATGATGGTGATGATGTCTCCAACAAGTTGAGGTGAGGGACACTGGTCTGGGATCATTTCGATGACGGACTCTGGAACCAGCATCTGCCAACAACGATGTAATGTAGGGTCCTTAAAAATTAGAATAGGGTTTGGCGGGCTCCTTATTAAAATTATAGTATAATATATCTCAAAGCCCTATTCCAAATTTAAGGCCCTTGCATTGGGGTTCAGGGTATAAGGTTGACAGTCCGATGCTCACAGCCCTCAACCCCAAAGCCTAAACCACCAACTCTTGCATACGGAGCGGCTGAACTGGAGCTTTAAAGCCGCTTTAAACCCTGAACCCTAAACCGTAGCTTTAAAGCCGCGCGACGACTCCTTGAATCCTGGCTCCCACCGGAGTCCAAAGAGCTCTCAGAACGGATCTGAAGCTCTCATGGGTCAGGAGCTGACCCCTTAGGGTTTAGGGTTTAGGGTTTAGGGTTTAGGGTTTAGGGTTTAGGGTTTAGGGTTTAGGGTTTAGGGTTTAGGGTGTTTTTCCCCTTTTTTAACTGGGTCGTAGTTTTGGGGCCCTGAAAAGTATTTATGAATAGGTACCTCTATAGAAACCATAAGGGACATTTTAAAGTTTCCCAAACTGCCACGTAGTTAAGGGCGTTAGGGTTTAGAGATTAGGGTTCAAGAATTTAAGGGGTTTGAAGGACATTGGCTTTAGGCCTTAGGCCCTAAACCAACGGGACCTGCTACCCTGGAGCTCCTTTGAAAAGACCCCTAAACACTTGGCGCCTGCCCCCTCAGAAATCGGGTTTAGGGTTTAGGGTTTAGGGTTTAGGGTTTAGGGTTTCGGGTTTCGGGTTTAGGTTGGGTACTGCGCCCACCCTATGACAGTCTATACTAGGGGTCATATTAAGGGCTATATATAGTTATATCACAGGTAATATTATCCAACTGTTGCAGAGTGGGGGCAGTACCCAAAACATTATATGGGCCTTAGCAGCGTATCTTATGCGATGTTTATATCCGGATTATAATGCGTAGGGCCTATGCTGCTACTCAGATGCCTATATTACCCGTGCAGGGAGGCCCAAACTATTCAGGATCCTCTTCATTTGCGAGGACTTTCAGGTTCTGGGGTTTAGGGTAGAGCTTGTCTTCTTGGGGTTCCCAGGCTTTCTCGACTTGCGGGTTGCGGAAGGTTTCAAATCACGCCGGTCCGTAGGCTACACGGGTTTAGTGGTTGGGGCCGTGAGACTTTGGTTTTAAGGCTTAGGTGTCCCTCAACCTTTAACACAAAACTCTAAACCCTAAACCCTGAAGACGTTGGCTTGAAACCTAAGCTACCTAAACCCTAAACCCTAAACCCTAAACCCTAAGCTCTAAACTCTACACTCTAAATCCTGAAGACTTTGGTTTTCAGGTTTGGGTTTCCCTAAACCCTAAACCTTAAATCCTGAAGACTTTGGCTTTAAGGCTTAGGCTTAGGTAGGGGGCACCCTGTATATTGCCCGAGACCCCCAGATATGGCAAACAAGGCCGCCACGATGCCCTGGAAACTCATCGCCAACATCCATTCTTGAGGGCTTTCTGTGTAGTGACTGTAGTGTTCTCGACCTTCCACCAACAGGGACATCAAAAATCCCGCGAGAATAAGCGCTGAAAAGGTGGGGTTCTGGACTCGGGATTCGCCTAGATTCCGAGCTCGGCTCGGTACCTACAACCATAATAAGGAAGCCCCACCAAATTGTATGGGTTATCATTTAGGCCTCCATACTATCCGACTTAAGCTTGGGGCTTCTGGAGCCTAGATGAGCTCTTTGGGGTGAATTCCATGTCAGCTCCCATCCAACTGAACAGCATTTCTTGAAATCGCCGTCTCCTTCGGCAAGCAGGGGCTGCAGCATCGATGCCTTGGAGCCTTTGCGAAACCCTCGACCCCACACACAAACCCTACTTGGAGGATCATGGGACTTAGTAAGTATGATTAGGGTTTATGGTTTAGAGTTTAGGGTTTAGGGTTTAGGGTTTAGGGTTCAGGGTTGAAGTTTTAGAGGATCATGGGACTTAGTAAGTATGGTTGTAAGTACCTTAATTGGGGTTATAAGTAGTTATAAGTATAGTTCTCCTAATAATAACCTTAGTTATTAAGTCTCATGATCCTTTAAGTAAACTCAGAAATCTAAGGTCTGAAACCCAAACGCTACATCCTGAAGCCTAAGTTTGCATCCTGTACGGGTACGGGTTTAGAGTTTATTTCCTACATCCCGAAGCCTAAACCTTACATGGGAGCTTCGGGAAGCAAGAGTCCCACACGCAAACCCTGGTTAGGGTTTAGGGTTTAGGGTTTAGGCTTTAAGGTTTAGGGTTTAAGGTTTAGGGTTTAGGGCAGAGGGATATGCTCCGGTACGATCGGAATAAGCTTCGGGGGTTGGTATATTGGGATCCGAAGAGCTTTCTGCTCAATAATTCTATCTATCTGCCCGAACACCCTAAACCCAAAACCCTCCGTCCTCTATCTTAGGTTCACCTGCATTGCTGTTTTGGGTTCTCATCGTTTCGAAGCGAATAACGCTTTTGGTCGGACTTGTCAGTGCCCTGGCACAAAGGCGACATGCGCTGCCCAATCCTGATTAAAATCCTCGGTGAAGATCTTTGCAGGCGTACCCGACAAGCGGTCTGCGGGCCCTCTGAGTAAGCCCCCGAATCGTGCAAGTCTATCTTGGTCGACTCCCCAAAGCCTTGAAGTAACGAAACCACTTTAACTCAGCGGTCCCTGTTGTAAAGACACGATAACATGCCACAAAAAAACCCTATTCTAATTGTTAAAGCCCCTATCTGGCATATTGGAGCATGCGCTTCGGGGTGTCCTGAAGGCCCGCACACCCTTGTGGGGAAGATGCGTGCTGAAGCAAAAAGAAGGGAGACTCCGCTTGACCTTGTTAAATGGGATTTGGGAACCCATTCTATTTTAGTCATATAGGGAAAAACAGAGGATAGCATTGCAAGTAGCATTGCAAGCTTCACGCTCCAAACCGAGCTACATTCCTTAGATTGCAGTCTAGCAAGAATCCGTGATATGCGAACTCAAGTTTACCAACGAGCTCGACTCGAACGACCTACCACTCGATGTTCTGTAAGCCCGTGAACAATGGACCCTCTTGAGCTAGAAACCTTCAAATCCCAGTGTCTGTGTGTAACTGCCGGAAACCTGACCCCCCCAAATCCAACATCCTGGACAAGCGAAGTCCTAAACCCTAAACCCTAAACCCTAAACCGTCTTAAACCCTAAACCGTCTGAAACCTTCCAACCTCAAACTCAAGATACGGAAGTCAAGTCCGACTCTCAAAGTGAGCTACTGTAGGGGCCTTCATTATTAGAATAGGGTTCTGGGGCCCTTAATACTATAGTTGTAGTAAGGAACCCCCAAAATAGTATAGGTAATTATTTAGGCTTCTATATTCTTCATGAAGCCACAAACCCCACAACCCTAAACCCTAAACGTTAACCTGTAAGCTGTCGACGGCGCAAACTCTAACGCGAAGTGGGGGTCCACGGGTTAGGGTTTAGGGTTCAGGGTTCTACATAGCTGCAATGAGGAACCCGATAACAACGATTTTCCTAAATATTCAGGCTTCTATACTGTCGACACAAAGCTAAACACCACTGGTTCAAAGATAATAATGGCGGTATTGTTGAGGAACAACTCGTTTCGTCGGGAAGATACCAGAATTCAAACAACTTGGCGTACTTAGGGTGATTCAAGGTTTTGTATACGAAAGTATCGAGGGTTCGGCAAAGTTGATACCTACCCCCTGAACCCCAACTCCCAAACCCTGACAAACAAATCCTGAACCTCAATCCCTAAAAGCTTCCTAAAAGCCCTAACCCGAGACTCAAACCAACTTTAAAGCTCCTGCAAGATAAACTCAAGCTTGAACCCTAAACCCTAAACCCTAAACCCTTAACCCTAAACCCCTAAACCCTAAACCCTAAACCCTAAACCCTAAACCGTATTCCTA